CTTTCGCCCTGCTCTCACGGACCCTCTCTGGCCCCCCTCTGCTGGTCCCCGGAAGGAGAAAACCCAGAAAAATACGAAAGAAAACCAATTGTGTTGGTGATTATGAAATACAGCTTATTTCACTGCCGTATGAAACGACACCCCGCGGTGGAGCCAAACAACGTTACTGTCATTTGGGAAGTAGGGCAGGTGTCTGCCACAACTGTCATGTGATTCGAAGACACCTGTGCTTTCTGTTAGGGACCAAGGCACGGGTCCTGCTAATCCTGCTGCGCTTTGCTACCTCCGTTCGTCACGGGAAACACGGCTAAATTACTGCTAGAGCTTAGTAAAAATCAAGGTTTTTTGTACCATCCAGGCTCACAGTCCGCCTGAATTCTGACCAGGGACCCTCATGTTCAGGACAAGTTTTCAGCTGGGCAGTTTCTCTTACTTGAAAGTTCACTGGGAGGTCCTGTTCCAAGAGCCTGATGGTGTTCCAGGGACATCGGCCAAACTCTCCCCCATCCCTGGCTCTGTTCTCCCTGATCTCCTGCCCAGACACCCACGCGGATTCCCCACAGTGCTCCCCACGGGGAGCTGAAGCTAAATCGTTCTATAGGTGCATCTGAGACTCTCAGATCCCCTGGTCCCTCCCAATGGGACAGCTTACCTTTCAGGGCTAAGGACCCACGTGCTGAAGCAGAATACTAGGCCTGCTCCTAGCATCAGGCTCACCATCAAAGTCAAGTCATTAAAATGAATTATTTTATGGCTCTCAGATCCCTGCCCCCAAGGATTAAAGACAGGTACACTAAAGATAAGTCAGGACTTCCACAGGCTTCTGCAACGTATGTCAGCCTTTGCAGAAGGAATCTGGGAAACCTAGACTTTCAGGGGACCTGACTGGATTGTCAAAACTCCTTGTTGAAGAAAGAAAGGACCTCTCAAAAGCTGAGATGGAAAGCTGCATTTATTCTGTGCTTAAGCACCAGAGAGGTTGTAAGGCAGTCTCTCTGAGCCACGCTGGTGACCTGACAAAGAATTTTAGGAAGCACAGTCCTCAGGGACTGGGGGATTTTTAGAGTTGAGAGTGTTTACATTCACCTTGAGAGCGGTGGCTGATGGGCAGAGGGGTTGGTGATGGTCTGACTTTCAGAAGTGGGGTCACTGGAGTGAGATTGTCACTGATTGATCATCACACTGGTTGAAAACAGGTTCTGTGGTTTCTTGTGATCATGTCTACACAGTAACAGGCCTTACAGGAGCTATTACTTCTCACCTTTCCAGCCTCTGGCTAAGGTGTCACCTTCCAATAACAGGCTCCCTGGCTAAGGTCTTCACTGCTCTGACCTGAAACCTTTGCAAGGAGGAGGAAGTATGGAAAATGGGAAACAGGACATGTTTGTCCTAAGCAGTGTCAGCTGACTCCTGGGGACATGGTGTCTTCCTGTGTGGGAGGGCTGGATGCTATTGCCCATGAGTAACAGGGAATCACAGGGCTCTGGGCTGGAGCCCTTGCCCTCTCTCCCAGGGTCTGCTTAGCCCACCTGAGGTAAGAGCCTTAGCGGGATGAGGCAAGAGAAGAAATACTAAAGGTTGTCCAGGTCCACAGTCAGGAGGGACACTCAGGGTGAGTGGGATGGAAGAAGAGAGAGGAGTGTAAGTGGACAAGGGCTCCTGGCCACAGGATGATTTGTAGCTACAGTGACCATGGTCCTGGCAACACTGGTGGGATAGATGCCCTTTCAAAGCTTGTAGGCCTCTTAGAAAAGCCAGATCCATGTGGAAGGGAAAGTCTGAGGTTAGTGTTCCCTGGCTGGAGAAAGGTTATCTTCTCCTCACCTCCATCCTCAGTACTGTCCCTCCACACTCGTGTCTGCAGAGAGAGCAGCAAGAGACAGGAGGCACAGAGGACTCAGAATCTGTGGGCAGCCTCCTCAAGTGTCCACAAGCCAGGAAAATTATCCTGTGACCCTAAACAATGGCTCTACCTGGCTGCCCCTGTGATGCAGCCCACACCAATTTCCCACAGTGGTGGGGACAGGATGGGCAGCTGGGAGGTGAGGTGAGAGGAGAATAAGGGAGGAGCTGTTTCCAGCTCTTGTTGGGGCATGATCACAGGGTACTGGATGGAGAGGACCCACTGAGTGGGGACCTGGCCCTTTCCTCTTTCAGTGAGGCCCACCTTCTCATACATCTCAAAACATCTCTGTGCAATAGGTGGATGAACACAGGACAAATGGTTGAGAAGGACAAGAGGACGAGGAGGACAGAGAGATGAAAACAGAAGGCCAGGAGGAAAGGAAGACAAGGAGGCCAGGAGGAGAGGAATACAGAGGCCAGGAGGAGAGGAAGACAGGAGGCCAGGAGGAGAGGAATACAGAGGCCAGGAGGAGAGGAAGACAGGAGGCCAGGAGGAGAGGAAGACAAGGAGGGCAGGAGGAGAGGGGGACAGAAGGCCTGAGGGAGAGGGAGACAAAGAGGCCAGGTGGAGAGGAAGACAGAAGCCAGGAGGAGAGGGAGACAGAGGCCAGGAGGAGAGGAAGACAGAGGCCAGGAGGAGAGGGAGACAAGAGAACAGGAAAACAGGAGGCCAGGAGGAGAGGAAGACAAGGAGGCCAGGANAAGACAGGAGAACAGGAAAACAGGAGGCCAGGAGGAGAGGAAGACAAGGAGGCCAGGAGGAGGGGAAGACAGAAGGCCAGGAGGAGAGGAAGACAGGAGGCCAGGAGGAGAGGAAGACAAGGAGGCCAGGAGGAGAGGAAGACAGAAGGCCAGGAGGAGAGGGAGACAAAGAGGCCAGGTGGAGAGGGAGACAAAGAGGCCAGGTGGAGAGGAATACAGAAGGCTAGGAGGAGAGGAAGACAGAAGGCCTAAGGGAGAGGGAGACAAAGAGGACAGGTGGAGAGGAAGACAGAAGCCAGGAGGAGAGGAAGACAAGGAGGCCAGGAGGAGAGGGAGACAGAGGACAGGTGGAGAGGAAGACAGAAGGCCTAAGGGAGAGGGAGACAAAGAGGACAGGTGGAGAGGAAGACAGAAGCCAGGAGGAGAGGAAGACAAGGAGGCTAGGAGGAGAGGAAGACAGAGGCCAGGAGGAGAGGGAGACAGAGGCCAGGTGGAGAGGAAGACAGAGGCCAGGAGGAGAGGGAGACAGAGGCCAGGTGGAGAGGAAGACAGAAGCCAGGAGGAGAGGAAGACAAGGAGGCTAGGAGGAGAGGAAGACAGAGGCCAGGAGGAGAGGGAGACAAGAGGCCAGGAGGAGAGGAGAATGAGACTCCTCTAAGGGCAGAAGGACCAGGCCAGGGGTCCCATTCCCAGAGCCAAGTTTTTATACCCAGAGGGTAGAATCAGGCAGATGGCTGGGCATGTGACTAGGCTCTGGGTCAACCTGGAGTCTTTCTGGAGGTTGGGAGACCCATCCTCATGAAGACTTGTCTAACCAGTCCAGGAAGGAGTCCCTTCTGACCACACCTTGGGCCCCAAGTAACCCCTTCTGTGATAAAGCTGAGAGTCCTACCCATAGACCAGGGTGAGGGTCCATTCAGCCCCTAGGGTTCAATCTGCAGGTGTATCTTGGCTCCTCTCAAGGGGGTACCCCACAGCAACCCACTGCTGGAAGGTGCTGTTTCCCACAGGAAATGCCAACCATTTGGAGTATGTAAATGCTTCCACATACTCCATGTGCTGAGCCAGGTCATTAAGATGTTCTGGGGTTATCCAGAAGATGATGGAGTAGGTGGGCTTTTCTCACACCTCATCCCAGAATCTAACTGGAATAAAAACTAAATTGGGAATATTCATCCTGAATTGAATTACCAGCTGAAGACTGGCTGAAGAGGAGACTTTTAAACAAGGAAGGACAGAAACCATCTCAAGTTTGGTAAGAAGGGCAGGGCCATGAGAGGCCCTGGCCCAGCTCCTAGGAGCCACTGGCCAAGGGTGAAGAGGGTTCCCCTGGAGAAGAGAGAGGCCTGGACCCCAGGCAGGGCTCCTAAGCCCAGACAGACAGCTGGGAACAGCTGCCCACACAGCAACTAGCAGTGGGGCTTCTGTCTGCCAGGAAACTGAGCCTTCCAGAGACAAAGCCACTTTTTTAAAGGGGTGGTGCACAAGATTTTTGTTCCCAGCCACTCAGCCTAGGTTTTGGTGGGTGTAGGGTGGAGGCAGACTGGACTTGCCTGAGGACAGACAGAGGTGGAAAGAGTTGGGGAGGGTCCTGTGTGTGTG